AACCTCAAGATGTGACACCATGGCCATACCAGTGGGGGCAGGTCACGGCTCAAAATGGTCCATGAACATGTGCCAGATGTGTGTCAATACTGATCCAAATTATTTTTTTGGATCAGTCTAGTTTAGCCGCTATGGACTTCAGAAGGCACTCGTCAAATGAATGGGGTTCATGACGCCTTTCGAGTGCGCAAATGCATTTTTTCACAATTTTCCTGTCCCGCAGCCATTTCGAAAAAGCCCACAGAAGGCAAAAGTGATGGCACATTAGTTTCAACAGTGGAGATAGGCGTGACTATGTACGTTAATATTTATTGTCCATGGGCCATACCTACAAAAGTACGTATAAAAGCTCTACGATTCAAAATAAAGACGCCTTCTTTTTAATCCCAAGATAAAGTTCTTGTCAACGACGTGAACTTCCCACACAAAAAATGAGTTTGTAATTAATCTTTATTTATAAAGCGCCTTTCACAGACAAGACTCACAAAGCGCATTACAATTGTGGGCACTCCCCACATGGGAGCGAAGTCGCCATACATTCTGCGCATGCCAGACCAATTGTACATGTTTTTAGAGGTAGGGCAAACTGGAGCACCCGGATAAAACAGGAGCACACAGAGGAGACCTATGCAAACATGGGGAGAACATGCAAACTCCACCCAGAGAGCACTCCCAAGGACGAGCATTCTAAATATCAACTCAATATTGCATTGATGATTTCTCTACTTTAGCATGGATTATCCTGTTTGCAGAGCTCCTACACCTCTCCCCTCCTCTGTCTGTGTCCCAGCATGCTCGGTGGCTGGAGGAGGCAGGGTGCTCTCCTCAGCCTTCACCCCACAGCAGGGGCCTGGAGCTGGGGCTGGCTCTGCTCCAAACACACACTAAGCCCAAGCATACAGTAGCTCCCGGCCATGACTGCGCACTGCTCTCAGTTTCCATGGTTTTTGTCATCTACAATCTATAATGTGACTGATGATCTTAACACCATCTTCAGATCTTTTTGATTTTGTCTTGCTGCCTCTGCTTTTCCAAACTACAAGCACATGATTGTTGGAGCTGTTGTCAATTAAACTATCTGTCAGTAGAACCAGACTTTGTTTTACTAAAAACAACTACTGTTCAAAAGATGTGTTCTTTGGCCCTTACACAGGATCTTGAATTATTACTAGAAATATCAAATCTACCATCCTTTGGTGCTATATACAGTATAACTTGTCAAAGTGAAGGCACTCTCAATATTAATCTGGACCAATACTTGGAAAATTGCAGAAAATTGTTCTGTCCGTGAAGTCATAGTCTCAGGATTAGAGTTTGAAAAAGGAGAATTATGCGTGGATGGCGCTAATACCATTCCATTCCATTTTCTTCGGCTTCATCCATTGCCGGGTCACGGGGGCATCAGTTTAAGCAGAGACGCCCATGACATAGTCCCTCTGACCCTGTAGTGACACCTATTTGAACTCATTATCAGTCGGAAAGACGCCTGTCCACAACCTCAAACAGTAACACTCCAAACTCCACTAAGGACGAGAGCTGTCAAAGGACACCAGAAACAAAAATGTAGACCTGCACCACACTGGGAAGACTGAATTTGCAATGAGTAATCAGCTTGGTGGGAAGACATACAAGACCATTAATAATCTCCCTCGATCTTGGGCTCCGCACAAGTGGGGTCAAAATGATCACGAGCAAAAATCCCAGAACCACACGGGGACCTAGTGAATGAATGACCTGCAGAGAGCTGGGACCAAATTAACAAAGGCTACCATCAGTAACAGACTACGCCGCCAGGGACTCAAATCCTGTCAGGTGTGTCCCCTGCTTAAGCCAGTGCATGTCCAGGCCCGTCTGAAGTTTGCGAGAGAGCAGTTGGATGATCCAAAAGAAGATTGGGAGATTGTCATATGGTCAACCAATGAAACCAAAATAGAACTTCTTGGTAAAAACTCAACTTGTCATGTTTTGAGAAGAAAGAATTCTGAGTTGCATCCAATGAACACCATATTCACTGTGAAGCATGGGGTGGACAGACCAGTGTAAGAGTGTAGAGTTGCCACAGGACGCGTCATCAGCCTACGTCAGCAGCCGCGGACTGCTATGAAAACATTAGCTTTGTGGTTTCACAGGCGCAGTTGACTGCTTAAACTAAACTTTGCACAAAACTTTGACTCTTAAAACCCACATGTGACAAAACGGAACCATCAACATCTCGCCTCAAATTGCATTCAAAGTGACATTCGTGTCTTAATTCGTTCGTATTTCAACTTTTAAAGCAATTCACGGTCCGCCATCTTGGTATGCTTTGGTTGCCGTAAGACGATCATGCGCAGGTTTGCATTACATCATAAACAGCTGAGGCTGTGCATCTCTTCAAGACAGTGTACTGTATCTCGGCGTTACACCGGCCCCAAGTGAACAGCACAGAACCATGCTTTGTGTCTCCTTTAAATGCTTTACATGAAGTTGAATAGTTTCCCAGTATTTTTTCTCCTGCATTCTAAACCATTGCTCCAACAATCCCTGTTTGACTTTGTTTATTTTTTGTTTCATTTTGTTCAAGATCTCACTACATAGACACAAAAAGCACTTATAACTTAACAGATGACTCAGTAAAAAGAATAAGTGCTTGGATTGGACCCTGATCAGATGTAGGTGCATGTAAGTGTGGTCCATGAGGCACAAGTGGAGCCTTTAAAGCTGCATCTCACCGTCATGAGGCCTGGGGCAAAGTCAGTCAGCTCGCTCTATGCCTGAACACATGGACTCCAAGGACAAAACCTCAGTCAGAGCCCAATATATCCATCCTGCTCACAACAGCTGCCATGGCAACAGCATCATTGGCATGGTTACTCCAGTCTCTTCGGGTCAAATGTGGTTTTACTGTACTGCTGATGGACACGGGGGAAGTGGTCTTATGTGCTGAGGATTCTACTCCATCTTAAACTGACCTACATTGAATAGAGGTTCTTGCCGTGGCATGTCCAAAGTGAGGCCTGCGGGCCAAATACAGCCCTCTATTTCATTTTATGTAACCCTATAACCCTAAATTCAAACACGGCAGCTTGTGTCTTGACCAGAACCAGGGAGAACGATCACATTAGTTCTCCAGTTCTCAGGTATCTATATTAGCTTCCTGTGGCTCAGAGAATAGACGCAGCTTTGTTTGTGTACAAGTCTCTCCATGGCCTTGCATGAAAGTGCATCAGTGACATGTTAATGCCATGTGGACCAACTCAGACTCTGAGGAGCAGTCTTCCTGAAAATGTGACCCAAGCTTCTTCTCTGTTGTTCAAATCCAAGTTAAAACAGTTCTGTTTAGCCGTGCAAACAACTGAGGGATTTTATCTTCCCTCTTGTTTAATGTGCTGTGATTATTTGTATCTTATTAATGCCTTGTCGTTTCTATCCTGTTTTGTTCAGATCTTTGAGTTGCCTTGTGTGTGAACTGTGCTATATAAATAAACTTGCCTTGACCAAAATAATACATGGACATTTAAAAGTGGTTCCATTCCTAACACAATGATCTTATGAATATTTACTTTGGCATGTTGTGTATTAGAATGTGATGCAGAGACTGCACACATTATTACATAAATAAACAACCACACACCCAGAACCATCTATTCCAGTGGTTCTCAAAGTGTGGTACGCGGGGCTCCCTCTAGTGGTACGCCAAAGTATCACTGAAATAAATAAATAGATTTAAAAAATATTATCATTATTATTATTATTATTTTTTACCAGGAAAGTGCCATTGAGATTAAGAACCTCTTTTTCAAGGGAGTCCTGGACAAAAATATTACATACAATAACAGATTATAAAACAGTTACATTTCAATGAGGATGTCTCAGTCTCAATCTGGATCTAAAAGCATTCAATGAAATAAGTTCAGATAATTTCCAGTCTTTTTGCAACACGTTCCATGTAGAAGAAGCAGCAAATACAAAAGCTTTTTTTTACCCAGTTCTGTGCAAAAGGAACAGAGAGAAACAAAAGATCATTTGATCCAAACCATAGAACATGTCTCTATGTGAGTAAATGGCAGATGTAAGAGAGCAGCAGAACAAGTGCACCAGTGTCCAAACCTTCTGTGGACAAAGATCCCACTCCAGAATATCATTCATTGCAGTTCGTAATGAATTGAACATTTTAATTGAATCATTTTTGAAATACAGTTTTTAGTTTTTTCCCTATATTTAAGTATACTGTTGAAACTGTGTAAAATGTTACAATGGCTGACAATATTAAATACACCTCTTTAGGAATGAAACCTGTCTTGTTTTTGATGAATACTTAAGGCTTACCAGCTTACGCTACTGTGTAGTGTTGGTCATTTGTGGTGGTACTTGGAGCTGAATCAATGCGCTCAAATTTTCTATTAAATTACTGGTTTTAATACAGCTTAGAAATAAATACTGTCTACGACAGACAATGTGAATAATGTTGATGCCGTTTTATGTGGATTTATTGGTATATTAAACAATTACAGTACACTATGTTGTCATATAGTTTTCCATTTAAACAACCATTTACAGAAAAATATGGCATAATTTGGCCGTTAGTTCGAAATGTGATTAATCACGATTAATAAATTTTTAAGCTGTAATTAACTTGATTTTCAAAAATTATCGTTTGACCACCCTAAAAATCATATTTATTCTTGAAACATAACTGCAGATCTTGTGGATTTCTCCCTGTTACTATGGCATTCTAGAACCTGCCTCGAGGGTTCCATTCCGTTTCCGCCCTGACTCCGCGGCGACGGTTGCATGGAGACCAAACATTTCGGTGATGTAATCCAGATGTTCTATTGATATTTGGCAATATGTGTGTGTTCAGTTCGGCTGAAGCAAAAGTTAATAGAGTCCCACTTGCATTTTAGCTTAGCGCCCGTTAGCTTGTGTTAGCATTAAAGTAGGAAGCAAAACTTTTATTCCGTCGCATCCAAAAACAAGCGAGTTCCAAAGTCATGAGCGGAACAAATAAACTGTTGGAGATGTATGACCTGTTGGATTTCATGGGAGAAGGCGTTTATGGAGAGGTGTTCAAAGCCCTCAACAAACGCACAGGAGAAGTTGTGGCCTTAAAACAGGTAAAAAACATAAAGCGTGCGTCATATTTCTGGCTTCGTGAACTCAGAATGCTGCGTACCATCGGCAGCCTGGATGCAGACTCTAGCAATTGTATCTGTTTGAACAACTGCTTCAAATCTGCTGATGGCGACCACTTCATGGAGTTTGAAATGTTGGACCAGAACGTCCTCCAGTTCATGGAGAAGAGAGACGCCCCATTCTCTTTAAAAGAACTCCGGCCCATGGCTAAAGGCCTCCTCGAGGCTTTGGACAGTCTGCGGTCTGTCGGTGTCATTCACACTGATATAAAACTAGACAACATTATGTTTGTGGATCAGGAAGCAAAGCCGTTCAAAGTTAAACTGATTGACTTTGGCGTGGCAGAGTTTAGAAAGGAGATGCATATTGGGGACTCTATACAGCCGTTAGCTTACCGTGCCCCAGAAGTCATCCTGGGCCTGCCACTGTCCGAGGCCGTGGACATGTGGAGTCTTGGCTGCTGTCTCCTCGAATGTTTTTTGCAATTTTTACCCTTTAATGTTGCTTCCCCATATGACCACCTCCAACAGATCACGAAACTCTTGGGAGTCCCCGATGCAGGCCTCATTACTCGGGCTAAAGAAGGAACTTTAGTTAGTTTAGTTTAGTCTTTATTTGAAGGGACAGTGTACAGAGACATTAAGCTCAAAGACAGATATGTTCTGCACCAGATTATAGCTAAACAGCTAGTTTCCATCTGCAGTCCCTGGTTACATCAATAAAATGCATGGATACAGTAATGTACAATCCTAAAAAATAACTTTGCAATACAACACATTCTCTCTAATACAGACACACACATTTAGCCTCATACCTGTTTGTTAAAACCACACTTCATTCACAGCATCACACCTACACAATACACATGTCACAACCACACATTCAGATTCAGTACATTTCTCATCATACATAAATCACATACATCAGTTTCTAATCATACATAGATCATATACATCAATTTCTAATCATACAAAGTTCACACACATCAGTCGTCCTGGTCACACACCTCAGGGTTTGTGTGAGCAGCTTTGATTGCTCCGTAACCATTTTTTAAGTTCTACTGTAAATGTAGGATAGTCTGATTGACTCTTCAGGTCTGTAGTGAGCTCGTTCCATTCCTTTATTGCTTTATATGAAAATGCTGATTGGGCAAAAGCAGTTTTACACCTAGGTATGCTGCACTGCCCCCTGGTGGAGGCTCGTGTGGTTCTAGTTGTCGCAGAAGATGTGAACTGAACAAAGTGTTTGAGTGGAGCTGGTGCGGTGTTGTTTAGTATTCTGTGAGCCAATCGTATGGATGCATATCTTTGCTGAATCTTGAACTAGATTCTTTGTTCAAGAGAAATCCGGGGAATGGCGACTTAAATCGATCTTTGAATACAGGGACTCAAAGGGAAACGTCCCCAAAATCGCGAAAAACACACTAGAGTTTGCTGCCGACTTAGAAGATGTCATATTGAATACTTTTGAATTCTCTTCTGGTATTGAATATGGGGACAGAAAGGTTTTCCTGGATCTTCTAAAGAAAATGCTGGAGGTGGACCCAGAGAAAAGGATCACTCCAGCTGAGGCGCTCCTGCACCCCTTCATCACCATGAGCCACTTTATACCCGCTTTAGCCTACATAGCAAACTCAGAGCAACTACTGGGCTACAAACCGAAAAGCAGTGGCATGTCAGATAGTTCTGACGATGAGGCCTCAGGGAATGAAAACGACAGTATACAAGCTTCAAAGTCCGCATCTCAATCCATTTGGCAACCTGTGCGTATTACACCTGAGGGTAATTTTAAGGTTAACTTTGCGCAGTGTAGGAAAGAGAACTCAAGCTCAGAAAGGTCTAATGGATCTCAAAAAAGAGGATTCGGGTTCAGGAAGTCCTTTCCAACCACCCAAATTTGGCACTTTTAATCCATCAGGTATTTTTGCGGTGAACTTTGCTCAAAATAGACACGCAAACTATACTTACACAAAATCCCGCAGGGATACGGGTTCAGAAAGTTCTATCCAACTCTCTGATAAGGACCAAGTGTTCATAAAAACATCAAGTTCTAGTGAAGAAGATTCAGAATATGAAAGTCCTGGCATTGTCCGACCCACCAAAATTCGCGCAAACTTAACTTACACAAAATCTCAAGGGGATTCGGGTTCAGAAAGTTCTATGCAACTTTCAAATAATGACCAACTATTCATAAATACGTAAAGTTCTAGCGAAGACGAGGATTCAGAATATGAAAGTCCTGGAATTGTCCGACCCACCAAAATCCGTGCTTTGACACCAGAAGGAAATTTTCAAGTACGATTGGCTCAAAGAAGAAATAACACATTAAGTGAAGAAAATGAAAATTCGTATCAATCTCAGGAAGAGGATTCAAGGTCAGAGAGTTCTCTCCAACCACCTGCATTTGGCACTTTTAACTCGTCTGGTATTTTTGCAGTTGATTTTGCTCAAAGTAGGCGCGCAAAATCTCAAGAGGATTCGGGTTCAGAAAGTTTTATCCAACTCTCTGATAATGACCAAGTGATCATAGAAACATCAAGTTCTAATGAAGAAGATTCAGAATATGAAAGTCCTGGCATTAGCCGACCCGCTGAAATACTTGCTTTTACACCAGTGGGTAATTTTCAAGTACAATTGGCTCAAAGAAGAAAAATCACATTAGGCAAAGAAGCAGAAAATTCCTATGAATCTCAGGAAGAGGATTCATGTTCAAATAGTCCTTTCCAACCACCCAAATGTGGGACTTTTAAACCATCTGGTATTTTTCAAGTTAATATTTCTCAAAAAATACATGGAAATTTAACGTACACAAAATCCAAAGGGGATTCGGGTTCAGAAAGTTCAATCCAACTCTCTGATAAGGTCCAAGTGATCATAGAAACATCAAGTTCTAGTGAAGAAGATTCAGAATGTGAAAGTCCTGCCATCCGACCCGCCGATATCCGTGCTTTTACACCAGTGGGAAAATTTCAAGTACGATTGGCTCAAATAAGAAATAACACATTAAGTGAAGAAGCGGAAAAGTCCTATGGATCTCAGGAAGAGGATTCAAGTTCAGAAAGTCCTTTTGGACCACCTGAATTTGGCACTCAAAGTAGATGCGCAAACTTAACTTACACAAAATCCCAAGAGGATTCGGGCTCAGAAAGTTCTATCCAACTTTCAGATAATGACCAAGTTATCTTAGAAACATCAAATTCAGGAGTTGAAGAACATGACATTTACTCAAATCCATGTGAAATCTTTCCAGTTCACGTCGCCTCACATGGTTCATTCCTACGCTCAGAAACAATAAGTTCCATTGAGTCTCAAGAGGAGGATTCAGGAATAGAAAGTCCTGGTATTGTCCAAACATCAGACATGGGACCTGTTACTCCACCTGGAAATGTCCATGTTAATTCAACAAGTCATGACAAGTTCATCATTGAAAATTTCAGTGAGGAGGAGAATCCTTTATCTGACTGTCTCTCATTTCCGACATGTGAAATTGCCAAAGATAGGAATGGCCAATTAAGCTCAAAAACGTCCAATGAATTTCAGGAAGAGGATTCGGAAGCTGAAAGTCCTTCCATTATCCGACCAACCGAAATTCTGGAAGCAACCATCTCTCAGGGTGAGACTGAACAGCCCAATCAAAGTCCACTGCCATTATATGAAGGAACCATCGAAAACTTCCAACTTTGTAAAGACACCAGCTTTCAAACGTTACAACTGGTAAAATCTGAAATCTCTTCTGATAAGATTATGACCACAGAGCCCCAGAGGCTTGTCACACATCCTCCAGGTGATGACATCGTAATTATAGATTGTGATGAGGAGGAAGAAACCCCGCTTTGCTTCCCACTCTGTCTGTCTCTGTTTCAGCCAGTGCTAAATTCCTTTCTCTCCGTTTTTGGGGGTTGGTGATCTGCAAACTAAATGGAGGATCTGTCTCTTACCACCTGCTATTCTTGGATGTGGCCAATCCGATCGGTCATACAGATCCATCAGACTGACCACTTCCTCCACCTTGTGCTGTGGTTTCTGGAGAAGCAAGTCCCAGGTGTGAGGCAAGGTGAAGGCCCCCTCCTCCCTGTTGATGGTCCGTGTGCCTCCCAGCTCACTGATTTCAATAGTCTTCCATATTCAGTTTGTATTTGCTCCTCTGTTCAGACCCTTTTTCTTCACTCCAGCCCGTTAAGATTGTCCTTTTTTCAGCAATGACCAGAAATCGCAGATGGTGAATGCTCTTCCTGTTTCTGTACGAAAAGAGGATGAAGCACCACAATAAAATCGGCAGTAGCTGGTCTTGTTTTTAAAGGGGATAATCATGTAACAGTTTGGTGTAAGGGAAATTCGGTACGAACAGAGGGACGTGAATGCGGACGATGGATTTGGAAAGCTATGGATTCACAAAGCAGGGAAGACTGAAACTCACCAGAGACATGGCGTTACCTGGGACACGACAGCATGAGGTGGAGGCACATGGTCAGTCTGTTGGATCTGCCCCAATCTCTCAGACTGACCACATCCATGGTCAGCTGATACGAGACACTCACATTGTTTTAGCTTTGACAAAGGCGGCACGGTGGCACAGTGATTAGCGCTTGTGCCTCACAGCAAGACGGTCCTGGGTTCAACTCAACCTCCAGGCCTTTCTGTGTGGAGTTTGCATGTTCTCCTCGTGTCTGTGTAGGTTTCCTCCGGGTGCTCCGGTTTCCCCTACCACTAAAAACATGTACAATAGGTCTGGCATGCGCCTCCTGTACCTGCTCCCATCTCTGTGTGCAGTGAGAGACAAATGCCCACAACAATTGTAATTGTTATAATTGCTTTGTGACTCTAAATAAAGATTACTTAATTTCTTACAAAAACATGTCACAAGTTTTGTGCTACTTATTCTTCCAGCAAGGAGTAATGTAATCCAGGGTTTGTGTGTATGTATGTGTGTGTGTGTCATCAACCAAACTCAAAACGTATGGGCGATTTTTTTAAACTTTTTTTAGGGAATTTATCAGATGGTTTAAAGCTGGGTTACCAAACTTTTCCCCATAAAGGATAAAAAAAAAAAAAACACAACCATATCGTATTTTTCACCTATCGCCATTATTCATTTACTTCATACACAGTGATGTTTAACTACTATTGTAGCCACAGCTGCCCTGAGGCCCACTGACAGAAGCGAGGAAACGTAAAAGTATGTGCTCTCGGCCCCTCCCACCACCACCAACTAGGGATGTAAAAAACTATGAATTTTCATGACCGACCACCTAGCCTCATTAACCGGTTGAAACTGGTTAACCACGTAGTTTAAAATATTCCACGTTCTTTGAAATAACAGCCATTTCGAGCCGCGTACTTTTCATAAGTGCAGCTATGCGTTCTACTAGATCAGAGCCGAGACAGCGGCGCCAAAACCCGCAACAGCTTCGGCACCTTTGCGCACAGAGAACTGCTGTGAATCTTCCCATTCTTCTGTGCTGCGGGTTAAAGCATTTTTAAGCAAAAGACGGCTCGTTTACATGGTCAGAGCGGTGAGTGACGTGCTATGTGTGGCATTACAGCCTGCAGGCGGGCTCTATGCCACTTTCTCTCGTCCTCATTTTCTATTGGTTGTTCGTCCCGTCACTCACCCAATAAAAGGTACGCGTCTTCTTTCACTTGTCCTCTGACCTCACTCTCCTGCTTCCGGTTGCGGTGTTTACGTCGCTGTTCCCGCTTTCAGGTAGTATCCGAAAGTTAAATGTGAGATATTTGTTTTATGAAGCACTGAGTGTTAAATATTGTGGTTCAGTGCTGCTGCCATGGGTCCACTTGTGTTGCCGTGTAATTACCGCCCGCGGTGCTGGCTGTCAACCCAGCTCATGTGTGTGAGCGGCTACCGCGCTAACCCAGGTTTGTAGCAGAACTTATAGGTTATAGAACAATTTGAGTCATTATATTTATTTAGATACATGTACTTTTAGATTGATGCCATGGAGCCATGCGGTGCACTGTCGCCACCTTGCCTTACCCAGATTCCATTGACCAGAATCATGTTACAGTGACCAGAATCATGTTACAGTGACCTGAACAAACTTGTTAATAAATGTACATATTTTTGTAACCTGTATCAGCCTCTGTGTTATCACAACGGACCTACGTCCTTTATTTTAAATGTAATGTGGATCCAGTTAAATAATATCCACCACACCCTCTGGAACACCACATATGTCTCGCTGGTCTCCGCTAAAGTTTAAATGCAAGTGATGTGTGTGGAGCTGATGCCAAGAACCAGCAGCACAAACATGTTCCATGTGGTTTGACTGGAGCTGCGTATTTGCGAGGATCCTTTGGGCTGCTTGACACAGAGGAGCGCGACAGACCGGTATGTTTGTGTGTGTATGTGTGTGTAAATATAAGCTCCAATGTAGTTCTGACCCGCACCAGTGTGCAACTAGCAGGTGGTAACAGAGGGGATGATGATGCGTGTGGATGTTACGTATCGCAAGTGTGTGTTTTTTTTTGTTTCTGTGTCTTTGTTTCGCGTGTGCATGTGTGCGTGCATATGTGGCGCTTGCAGCGTGAGAGTCGGCCCGGAGTTTACTGATACATTGGCGCACACAGCTAGAGACAGACCCGCTCGTCACATCGTGCAAATAGAGCTTAAAATAGCGTTATGAAGAGACCTCCCCTCTCCCCTTTTTCTCTTTTTTAACCGACAGCTTTGACCGGTTAACGCTGTGACGGTTATACGGTCACCGATTTACATACCTACCACCAACCATTCACACACACACCAGACTCATTCTAATGTCGGTGAAGTGCACTTTACAGCCGCCCCACTGTGGCACCTGGTGTTCCCGGAGGTCTCCTATCACAGTACTGAAGTCTGAGGGATCTGGCTTAAGGTGCTTTCAGACCGCCGACGCTGGAACGCTGACGCATCGCGCACCAGACGCACATTCTCTAATTTTCAGACGCAGGGATTTCACACCAGAGGTCCTGGCCTGCGGTGGCGCCCGTCGCAAGTGGCGGAAGTAGCGGGCGGACTTTGATGCTAATGGAGTGAAGCTAGCAGCTTTTTGTGTACAGATCTTCTCCAATAATGCATCTTTGCATAGTGTCTGTGTTCAGAGACCTTCCAGAGACTTTATATAACAGTAGAATGTGTGGTTTATTTTATTATTAAACGGTACTTCTGCATCAGCGAACATGCTCGAAGCATTTGGATAAAGTCACAGGAGCATGAAAACGCATATGTTCACAAGCACACAGTCCCCCATTGTCAACCCTGGTTTAGTCCTGGTGTAGCTCCTGTTTTGGCTAATTACGAGTATGTTCAGTCTGCTCGTTCAGACCACTAATGTCCCTGTGACCACTTTGCGGCTCTCTGATTGGTCGCTGCACAAGCGTCCCGAGGAAACGTTCAGCAATATTTATCTCTTGCGTGCGTCGATTTTCCGGTCCTGCGCCTCTGCCGTGCCTTTTCTGCACAGTCCGTGCGTCTCCAACATGCGGTTCGTGCGTCTCTACCGCGCGGTCCGTGCGTCTCTACCGCGCAGTCTGTGCATGCATCCCGAGACGCACGTGCAGTTCGACGCTCGAACGCGCGTCACCATTGACTTTGCATTGAAAGTCCGGTGTGAAAGCACCATTACACATGCGGGTCCGATACCAATCAATAGCAGACCATCACTCCAGTCTGGGCACATACTGTATGCATCTATTACACAACCAGGTAGAGTAGAGCAGAGCAGAGCACAGTAGACTGGAATAGACTGGACCAGGGCAGGGCAGGACACAGTAGAGCAGAGCAGAGCAGAGCAGAGCAGAGCAGAGCAGAGTAGAGTAGAGTAGAGTAGAGTAGAGTAGAGTAGAGTAGAGTAGAGTAGAGTAGAGTAGAGTAGAGTAGAGTAGAGTATTTCTACCGATCCTTCCTGTTTAGAGCAGAGCAGAGCAGAGCAGAGCAGAGCAGAGCAGAGCAGAGCAGAGCAGAGTAGAGTAGAGTAGAGTAGAGTAGAGTAGAGTAGAGTAGAGTAGAGAGTAGAGTATTTCTACCGATCCTTCCTGTTTAGAGCAGAGCAGAGCAGAGCAGAGCAGAGTAGAGTAGAGTAGAGTAGAGTAGAGTAGAGTAGAGTAGAGTAGAGTAGAGTAGAGTAGAGTAGAGTAGAGTAGAGTGCAGTAGAGTAGAGTGCAGTAGAGCAGAATAGAGTAGAGTAGAGTAGAGTAGAACAGTCATTACTTAAGAACCATAAGTTCACAGACACAGACGTATGAAGGTGACACAGCAGAATATTTGCTGTGAGAAAGAAAACTATTTAAAGCTGTAAAAGACGAGTAGAAGTTTCTTGTTGGTTATAAATAGAAGCACAATCTTTTACTCCAGAGATTATCAAAGGCAACTTTGGGAAAAAAAAGCAGAAATACCACAAAAGCGTAGGGCTGGTGGAAAAGGGGCTATTGGAAAGTCTAGGTTTTATAAAGTAAAGAAATCCAACAATATGGCGTCTATATACGGTATTATAGAGTTATTGTAATGTATATAAATGTGCTAAAGGTGATATTATTTATCTTGTGTTGTGTGCTCCTTATTCCTCCTCTGCAACTGGTGATGCAACCCTGGAATTTCCCCACAGTGGGACGAATAAAGGATCTCTTCAACTTAGTCCTAATGCAATAAGGAAAAAGTGGCTTGTGAGTCAATGGCTGCATCCAAACTCACAATCATTACCTCATTCTTTGGCTGCTTCCTTCCCCTTTTTATCAACCAAAGAGGCACTAAAATCATGTTTTCAAAAGTGCTAAATTTCACTTGACCAAACATAGACATAGGTACACACATAGGTACATTTGGATGCATATGAAAGGACAAGGAAGGAAGAAAGGAGGATTTCAATCTGATAGAGGAGATATACATGTATGTTGCTTTGAGCTGATTGGCTGAACACGGGTAGTTATCTCCACTTAAAGCTGGGGTACCTAAATTCTTCTGTTTCATAAATGACACATGTAGTTTGACTCAACAGAAAGAGTATTGTGAAGGTACAATGTTTTGAAAAAATCCGACCAAAAAATTACAATTAATAATAATGTCACGTTCCCTTCCTCCTAAAAATAAACTAAAAAAAGAAAGAAAAGAAAACACACGTAGACCCTAATTCTAATGGAGTAAAACACAAGCTTGGTATTTGCCTGGTTAGTTACAACAAACGTGGACTTTCTCCGGGTCTGAATCAAAACATCGCTTGTTTAATCTTATTGTGTCAAATCCAGATTTACAACTTCAGGAGCAACAACAGTGACAAAAAAGCTGTTTTCCAGACAAATCCCAAGTCTATAGGGCTATCAATAGTCAACATCAACATCAATTCAATGTATTTTTGTAGAGACCTAAACCACAACAACAGTCGTCTCGGAGGATTTTACAAAGTTGTCAGTCAAAGAATCAAATCGTTCAAACACAGGAAACTCAATAATAGCAAACACACAGAG